CATGGGGCTAAAATACATCCATAACTCTGGCCTTGTGCACCTGGATATCAAACCTAGTAAGTATAGTGCACTCCTTTGTGGAAGGTCTTGCTCTTGACCCTTCAGGGGTAAGATCTGTAATAGATCCTTCTGATTTGACCTATCATAAGGAAAGAAGACTTACCCTAAAAGGTGAATGTCTTGTGGTTTGTGTGTGTTTTTGTTTGTTTATTTTTGGTTTTGCCTTTTTTTTTTTGTTGGTTTGTTTTTGTTGTTTGGTTTTGTTGTTGTGGTTAGTTATTTATTTATTGTGCCACTACTGCTGCTCTAAAAGTGCTTCTCTGGTAGTTGGCAGCATTTTACTTTAGTCTTGTGATCTCCGTAATCCTGGCTCATGGGAATCACCTTCATACCCGTGGAGCAAGTAGGGCTGCTAATGAAGACAGGAACTTCCTGATTTGCTTCTGCCTCGTTGCACAACACTTGACTCTTGCATGTGTAGCTACCCTGAGGGATTAAGTTCCACCAAAAATAGTAACAAGGTTTCCTTTCTGAAGCTGAGGATGGGCACCTCCTGGGCAGTGCTCCCCCAGTTGCGCAGTTAATATTCTTATAGTGGAGCTCCTTTTTCCTGCTGAAATTGTGCTTTTAGCTTAAAGGGTAGAGGGAGGGGAAGTTTATTTCACTAGGATATTTTCTGCACAAGATACAGCTGTCTTCTGCCAGCTGTGTTGCTGAATATGTGGAGATGGGCAGAAAGCAGACTAACTGGTGGGAAGCATGTGCACAGTTTCTCTGGCTGCAGAGCTTAACTAGTTTGAGAGGCGGGATTTTTGCGGAGTTGTCAGGCTGATGCAGTCTGACTACTGATATCACACTTCCTAAACTTTTCTGTCTTGCAGGTAATATCTTCATCTGTCACAAGCTGGCAGTTGCAGGCCCTGCTGGGCAGGAGAGTGACAGTGAAGATGAATTCTCTTCTGGTGTGGTGTATAAGATTGGTAGGTTTTAGCCTACTTTACAACTGGTTTAAGATTAGGGCTGCCCATTACTGCTTGATGTTGCTCTGTCCTGCTGGCTGAAGAGACTCTTATACAAAACTGATAGCAAAGTCCTGAATGCCCCAGTTACTTACTGGAATTAATAAGGAGACAGCTTCTAGAAAACTCATGAGCTTGTTTCCAAGCTCAGATTCGTGAGTAGGAGCAGACTTGCTCTTTTACTTAGTACTTCGTTGTTGCTCTTACTGGTGCCTATAAAATACAGGCTTTTATTGATGGAGAACTACATCATTTTGCTTCATTACGTTCCAGTTGCTTGTTCTTTGTCCCAGGTGACCTTGGACATGTGACATCAATAACAAACCCTCAGGTGGAGGAAGGAGACAGACGGTTCTTGGCCAATGAGATTTTGCAAGAGGTACAGCTGCTGGCAGGGCAGTGGGAAGAACAGGGTGGGGAGAGATCAACTGCAGTGCAGTTATTAGTATAGTGTGTTCCTCACCTTATCTCCTCTTTCTTCTGTCTGGTGAAATCAGCAGAATTAGTGCTTTATTATGAACAGTATAGGTGTGGGTCTTGTCATGTAATATTTACAGTACTTTATAAGTAACTATCATTGGATTATTGCAACTACTGCCTGTAAGGGGTTAATGAGATAAAACCTTATTGGTTTGGAGACATTTGATTTGCATGCTCAGCTGATATTAAACTGCTGGATGTGATTACTGAGGAATATATTCACCCAGACAGATGCCTTGTACAACGAACACGGAGCAGGTAGTGGGGAGAGGTGAGAGGCACAACACACCTCTTAAACTGACTGCAGTCTTGTCACTGGCCAGTGGAAAAAAAGGAAATCTATATTGAACAACCAGCTTGGATGTGTTGATCAGCTCAGGTGTTTAAGTGACAGTATCTGTGCTGCAAGTGGATTTGGGAACAGCTAGGTCAATGCATGAGATGCAGTCTTGAGTTGGGCATGGCTACCTTATTGCCTTATGGTGAAGGCTGGAGGTACACATCTGTTAGACCATCCTCTGGAGTTGCTGCAGTGATCATAAAGTGGGCTGCAAGCTTCTTGTGGCTGGGTGAAAGCCAACGTGCTGTTAGTTACAGTACTACCTGCTGTTGATGTTTTTGTCCTAAAGAGAAGAAAGCAGCTCATGGGAATGGTGAAGCCAGTGCCATAAACATACTTGCTTGGCTGTTTCTTCTTGAGCTTGGACCCCAACCCACCTTTGTTTAGTACAGCAAGATGTTTCCTTCCTATAACCTTTTACCTTCTCTCTGCAGCAATACTGCAACCTGCCCAAGGCAGACATCTTTGCCCTGGCACTCACGGTAGCTCTGGCAGCTGGCGCAGCACCGCTGCCTCACAACGGGACCATGTGGCACCACATCCGCAAAGGCAACGTCCCATCGATCCCCCAGAACCTTCCCCGGAGCTTTCTTGAGCTTCTTAAGGTGAGGAATTAGTCTTTGACAGAATGGTGGCTTTTGCAGTTGTCACGTGGCAGGAGTGTTAAACTCTGAACTCCTTTGCCTTCTAGCTCATGATCCATCCTGACCCAGCGGAAAGACCTTCTGCCTCAGCTCTGACTAAACACCCTGTTCTCCGTCCTTCATGTGGAAAAGCTCTGCAGCTCCAGCAAGAGCTAAATGTGGAGAAATGCAAGACAGCCATGCTGGAAAGGTAGGACTGGCTTGGGCATGAAGGGGAGAAGGCATGGGCATAACAAGTGCTGGTCACTAGCCTTGAGTGTAGGGTGGTCGTGCTGGGAGAACACAGAATGCAGAAGTACCCAGGCAGGTCCTGTGCCTGGAGCTGGGAGGATGGTGGGGCTGTAGCAGGGACTTGCAGTGCCCAAGCAGCTGGGCTTCAGTTCTAGCTCTGAGGAGCTGGCTGAGTTAGAGCAGTGAACTTGTACGTTAATTGCAACCACTGATGATGGAAAATATTGATAGAGTAAGCAGCCAGTGGGCAGATGAGGAATTGATAATGCACTGAGATAGTGGTCTAGCACAGAAGGAAGGGAATACTCAGGTGGTATCAGAACTACAGATATCTTTTCCCCCTTGTTCCCTCTCACTGCTGTTGGCAATAATGTTTTAAGGTGTTGGGACCTAGGAACTGCCCCACCACCCCCTTAGTGCAGCAGTCAGCTGGAGAGTAGTTTTTTTTGTGTAGACAGAAGAGTGTATTCTCTGGAAGAGTAGCAAGGGAAAAAAGGCAATGGAAAAGAAGCATGTGCCTTTATAAGTTTTGCCATTCACAAATCTCTGAAACAATGGGAGAAAAACTGAGCTAAGGGCTCTTCATGCTGGTGCCAGTGTGTTACTGACCCGATACATAGTTTTCTTTTGGTAAATCTCTAGAGACAGCTACAGTAATCTTCATGTCACCCTCTTGGGTGAAAAGCTGCCCCTTCCTGCTGGAGTATTACAGTAACCTTCTTGTGCAAGACTGTTCATAGCTTGCTTCTGTAGCTGGTGGGGATTTGTGCATGACCCGGTTTTCTTCCTCTCCTCTTCCTTCCATCTCCCCCCTACAGGGAACTTAAAGCAGCTCGCCTTGCCCAGACCCTCATGAAGGACCAAGCCTTAGGAAGTGCCAAGTTGCAAGAGTCTGAAACCTCTTCTAAGCAGAAGAGCAAGCGCCTGGTGGGAGGGAAGAGCTGTCGCTCATTTAGCTTTACTCTGGGTTACTGAATTTTTATGTTGTCCAAAAACTCTGACTGCTGAAGGGCCCTGTGAAAGCTGAGGGTCTGCACAGACCAATGCCCCATATTATCTCTCCCTATCGTGTGTTTTTTTTTTTTTTTGGTGACCTCCTTAGCTATGATGAGACATTGGCTGAGGGAAGAATGACTGGCTTACAGGTGTTGGATCAGGGAATTTAAGGTTACTGTCCCCAGTCTTTTAACTGTTAAATTTCTTGTGTAATTGGTCTTGATATAGACTAAGTGTAGCTCTGCCATACAAGGGAAAGGATGGCATTTTCTCTCCTTACTTCCCTCTTTCTTTAGTTGGGCCCTGTTATTGATGATTCTGTGGTCTTAATGCTCTGGCTGAGTGTATCTTTAGAGGGGCAATAGTGGCTGTACCTGAAGACAGCATCTACAGCAGGGCCCTTCTAGGAGTGAGTAGGTAGAGACCATGGCTATGTTGACTCCTGTGTAGTTAGGCTGGTTACATAGCAGTCCTGGTGGAACTGGGATGCAATTGGAGTGGCATTTCACTGATGGGGGACAAAGAGTAAAAGGAAACACTGAGTTAAGGAGTGAAAGCTGAAGAAAAACTTTCCTTCCCTCAGCTTTCAGCAACAAAATTCCTGTAGCTGAGTAAACTTTCGCAGACTTAGTCCTCTGATGCCTGACTTGCTTCCTGTCGATCGGCAAGGACTCCTTGTTCAGGTGTGGGGGGGTGACTGTGGTGTGCTGGTAGCTGGGTTTGGTACCCACTTCTCTTCCAGTATCTCACACTTGGTGCAGCTGCCTGCCTTCAAACTGCACCCTTTCGGCAGAGATGAGGGGTAAGGGCTTTTCCAGGTTTTTGGAGTTGCCCATGTAACTTGTGGTACGTATTTCGTATTTATTAGACCTCACACTACACCACCGTCCCCCTCCCTGCCAAATGTATCTTTGTGGGTCCTGGTCGGCTGTGTCCTGGTTGGACAGAGCGCTGCACTGTTACGAGGGAGAGTGTAAACTTGGTAACTCGCTTATTTGCATTTTTTTTAACTGAAATTTGTTTTTATGATGCTGGCTTTTAACTGTAAGATCCTATATTTTCAGAACTGAAACGTGCAAATAAACATTTTATCTTATTATTTTAAAACGGTGATGGAGTGACTTCTTTTTTTTTTTTTTTCCCCCTCCTCCCCCGCCACCCGAGAGCTCCCGGTCCCCCGTGGGCCGAGGCGGGTGGCCGCAGCAGTGGCTGCCCGTGGCCGCTCCAGCGCCTGTCCCGCGGGATGGGGCGGGTTTCCACCCGGAACCTCCCGTCCGTCCCTTTCCTGTTCCGGGCGCGGCGCGGCGGGAGAGGTGCGGAGGGCGCGGGGTCGGGCGGCGGGAGCGGAGCGGGCCGGGCCGGGGCTCCCTCGGGCGCTGCTTCAGCCCTGCTTTTCCCCCCGCAGGCTCGCCGGAGAAGGCATGTGGCGGCGACCGGCGTGGCAGGTACGGCCGTGCGGGGCGTGGGGCGGCCCCGGGGTCGCGCCGCGGCCTCCGTGGGGAGGCACTGGGGTCCCGTGTGCTCGGGGCGGGGAAGGGGCGGCGGGAGGAGGAGGAGGAGAAGCAGCTCCCGCCGCTGTCGTGGGTCCGGCAGTGACTCTGTGGGCATGGCAGCAGCCCGGGAAGGGCAGGGGCGGGAATAGCGCCGGGGCCGCTCGCCCAGCCTGGCCGGGGCTGCAGCCCGTGAAGATGCTCTTGTTTGCGCTCGTGTTCCAGGGAGGCGGATGCCGCGCCTTGGTTACTGAGCTGCCGGGGAGATGGTGTACTGAAAGATCTGCCTTGTGCGTGGGACGAGTCTGAGATGGTTTGCGTGTGTGTTAGTGAGGCCCACAGTCGCATCAGAGAGCTGCTGTTTTGCAAACTGCGTTTCCTCTGGTTTAGCTTCCTTGCTCACATGCTACAGGAGATGAGCTTCCTTCCCAGTTCCTGCACATGGGCCTTCTGCAGGAGTGCTCCTGGGCTTTTGTTTCCCCCTCCTTTCCTCTAGGACGGGATATTTGCTGAAATGAAGGCAGTTCCTTTACCTTTTTCCCCACTTGTGTTTAGTTGTGGCTCTGGGGTTTTTGTGTCCTTGATTTGCTTGCCTGCTCAATAGCAGGGGTTGTCAGTGCATCCTACCGCTCATGGCAGCAGATGGATGTGCAAGTGAAGTGGGCATGTCTTGTTAATCTCTGAAGCAAAGCAGAAAATTGATGCAACTATCAAAACTGGTTTTGTTTCCGAAAACCAAAAGAACTGAACAACCACTCTGCTTCAAACTTCTCCTTTCTGATTTATGTATTACAGAATAACAGTAGTTATTGCAAGTCCCAAAAATAGTTTCTGGAGATGTACCTGTGGACCACCCTTTCTCCTAGGCAGCTTTTTAAGGGTGCTTTAACCAGATGTTCTTTGAATAATCCCACTGGCTTCATTTAGCTGAATGGATTTATTTTCTTAATCCCTCCATCAGTTACAGGGAAAAGAACACTCTTGCAGAACCTCCAAAAGTGTTCAGAAAATGAGGCGTCGGGGCTTCTGAATGCTGTTCATGCTTTGTCTCCTGGAAACTAACATGTGTCTGTTCCCTCAGGTGTTTCACCAGGTTGTGAGACATGAGTCTGATACAGTTACCCCACTGGTACTGGAAAGATGTAAGTAGCTCCTGAGGTGCAACTTACTGTTACTCGTTGTGTTTATCTCAGTTTTTAGAACCTCTGAAATATGGTAGGGGAGAAACAGGTAGGTATGGTAGCCCCTAGTGTGGTAACTAAGAATGTGTTGTTTCAAAGGCACAGGCTCGAGTAGCTTCCTGTCTGGTCTTTGTGAGGTCAGGCAGCACTTTAGAGGAGACAAGGGAAAAACCCTGACATAGAGTACCACCTGTAAAAGGCAGGTAGTTGTACTTTATCAGTGGCAGTGAATTGGGCCTGCTGTTGGGATTTCTAACAACTGCCTTTAGGTGTCTCATGTCCTTGTTTCCCAGATTCCTCTGCGCCTGGGGTACTTGTTTAGGTGCTGCTGTGCCCCACTGTGATTTCCTCCAGGTGTACACTTCAGACTTCACTCTTCAGTTCACAGGGTTTTGCAAGAGTGATCCTTCCCTGACTTCCTCCAGCTGTTCTTGAACACAGAGAAGGGATAAACTGTGTCTGCCTAGGCCTGATACCTGTGTCAAAACTAATCACCCTCTAATTCAGAGGATGGAGTATAATAATGCAACTGTATTGTTTTAAAGTCACTGCTTTAAGAAAAAACCCCAATGCAATGCTGTAGTTTTATCATAATGAAACAAATGAAAGTCCAGACAAGTAAATGCAAGATAGTCTTATGACACATGGATATGGCTGTGGAAAATGATGACAAAGGAACATTTGGCTTTCTAAGTGAGTTATTTAGTGATAACCTTCTGCTGGGGGCCTGAATAAGGCAAAAGTCACAAGAGCTTGAAAAGTGGTTAGGAGGTGCAGGAAGTTGTGCTTCTGGCCCTTCACAAGTTGCTGCCAGTTTGTGGCTTGCCGTGATAAGAAGCATTGTAGTTCACCTCTATATGCGTTTACTCTCTCTTGTTTCAGCCATGAATCGTGTTCAGTTACTGGGTCGGGTTGGACAGGACCCTATCATGAGGCAAGTGGAAGGAAAAAATCCTGTTACCATATTTTCTCTTGCAACCAATGAGATGTGGCGGACAGGGGATAGTGAAGTAGGACAGGGAGGTGAGTCTGCAGCCAGCAACCTGCTTTTGCTGTGTTCTGAGCTCATGTTTGCATGTTCAGCAGCACCACCCTTTGTCTCCATGCTGCTGTGTAAACCTCTTGGGTGCAGGGAAGTTTCTCTGGGGTCAGTAGAGATGCTGGTGTGTTTGTGTGTCTCATGCTGACCCCCAGCAGCATGAAGAGAGATCTGCCTGTCAACCTTCCTCTGGAGAAGAGAGTGTTGAGTTGGCAGTTTGTCACTGTTGGGGTTTGTCAGAGGTGTAGTGGGTTCTCTCCTCTTGTTTGTATTTCAAGAGAGGAGAAAAAAAAAAAAGCCTTTTGTCTTTGTTTCTGTCATCACTCTGAAGATACAGGTGTCTTGTTTTCTCTAACTTCTACTCAATGTGGATCATGGGAAGGGGGGTGGGAAATTATAGTCTGAGCACTGTATTCCAGGAAAAGTGATCTCTTGGTTTGAACTGTGCTTCTGCACAATACTTTCACTTGGACACTGATGTGTGGAACATTGAGTTCTGGAATGAAGTGGTATTTTGAGTGTTAGTGTACTTCTGTTTTCAAGTCACTCCTCATAAAAACTAGTTTCTGAATCTTGTACCAAAAAGAGAGTTTGGCATCCAACATAGTTATTTTTATGTAACTTAGGTGATGTCAGTCAGAAGACGACGTGGCACAGGATCTCTGTCTTCAGGCCAGGCCTCAGGGATGTTACCTATCAGTATGTGAGGAAGGGGTAAGTGAACAAGAAATGTGGCTGAGGATTTAATACTTTAATAATTGATTAATGTAATAATTATAGTGACCAGGAGCTATGCTAAGATAGAGGTGCCATAAAATGTCAGCTGACCTGCTACAAACAACTTCTACAAATGGCTGTGTACTTAGATTCTGAATTCAACCTTTTCATCAGGAATAGTGATGAAAAGGACAAGGAGGAATGAATTCAAACTTAAAAAGGGGACATTTAGTTAGATGTATAGATGAAATTCTTTATTGTCAGGGGGTGAGGCACTGGAACAGGTTGCCCAGAGAAGTTGTGGATGCTCCATCACTGCAAGTGTTCAAAGCCAGGTTGGATGGGCTTTGAGCAACCTGGGTTAGTGGAAGGTGTCCCAGCCCATGGCAGGGGGGTTGGAACTAGATGGGTTGTAAGGGACCTTAAGGACCAAACCATTCTGTGATTCTAGATATAGAGTGGAAAACAGCAGCACAGTTCTCTGACCAGAACTAAATTGGTTTTTTGTTTTTTTTTTTTTTTTTCAGTTCTCGAATTTACGTTGAAGGGAAGATAGACTATGGTGAATATACAGATAAAAACAATGTGAGGCGACAGGCCACAACAATTATAGCAGGTAAGGAGCAACACATCAAGGTTCCCCTTGCCCTTTTCAAATGGAGAGGGAGTGGAGGGCCTCTGAAATAGAGCTTGGTTTGTCTCCATCCTCAGTATCCACACTCAAGGATTTTGAGAGAATGAATAGTCTGTACCAGTAGATTTCCTCTGGCACTGCTTGTGAAGACACAGAGTATACACTTGCATGCTGTTGGCATCCTTTGCTCACACAAACCAGTTGATGCAGGAGGCAGACACTGTGTTTTAGGAACGCTGGTGTGTAGTACTGCAGGTCAGGCAGATTCCTTTTCTAAGCAGAGGTTGTTTAGTAGCTCTGTCTCAGTTTGCTGGAATTTTTTCTTCCTGTTAAAGACTGGAGACTTCACCAGCTTAAAGGACCTCTGGATGATTGTTCTATGTGCAGATAACTCGGTGGAGAATTTAGAAACACCTTGTTCTGGTAGCCAGTAGAGGCAAGAAGAGCACAGAATGGATAAGGAGCACACTTATGCCTTGGATAGACACAAGGAAAAAGAGAACTAGAAAACTCTTTCCTTGAGCATTTAAATAGTGTGAGCATCCTACATCTTTACTGTGGGTAGAGCTGCTACCTTGTGGCTTTTGAGGGAGGGGTAAATTAGTTGGGTAGTAGAGCAAACATTTCTATTACACAAGTATGTCTAAAAAAGCTAGGACAGAGGAAAAGGAAGGAAAAAGAACAACTGTAGTTCTGGGTGTTTCTGCAGCCTCTTTAAAACAACAGCAATCAAACTTTCACATGAGCAGTTCAGCTAGCAGTGGTGTAAGTTGCTGTTTAAAAATTAGTGGAGGGAAGAAGGAAGTATCTTTTTTCTAATTAGTATTATCCTAATAGTTTCCTTGTGCTCAAGAGGCACCATCTCAAGATGCTTTTGAAATTCCTGAGGCTTGATGAAATAGGAGGTTTCTATAGGCTGTTGACATGGTTGTGCAGACTGAAAAAGGAAAGAAGCTGTATCTGATGCAGATTATAATCAAAGAATTAAACTATTATTTTAAAATGTGTCTAGCGTCTTTGACTGCTCAGCAGCTTTTCATCAGCTTTAGCACACTTGTTACATGTGACCACATTAAGTTGTCAGCTTTCAGGGGACACAAAGGGAGAACGCTGTTTCAGACCCTCTTTTGTTCTAGTAATTGTTCTGCTCTGAAATATGCAGCTTATTTTAACACAAATAGGTGGTCTTTGTGGGTATGAAGGCTTGCAACAGGGCGAAACAATCCTCAAGATTAATTTTTTTATCTCTTTTCAGATAATGTGATTTTTCTGAGTGAGGGCTCTACGAGAGATAAGGTGTGAGGTCATTAGTGCTTGAACCCAGGCCATTTCATTCCTTTGGATTTTCAGTGCTTCATAGTCACTTATATTCCTGTAGTTTCTTTAATAAATAAATAAAATACTTGTTACCTGTAGGATATCTGTGTCTTTTTGTTTTTCCACGTGCTTTCTCTGTTATCATTGTTTGGATTCCTTTCTTTTTTATTCTTAAGAGAAAAGGTAACCCAGGCAGCTGTATTAATTCTTGAGCTGATGAATATATACATGGAAGTCACTGTTTCCATCTTCAGCCATTTTCAAACCTTATATCCTTGGCTGCCTTAACAATCTCCTCCTGTCTTGTGGGGCCTGACAGCCTTATCCTCTCTCACTGTTGACATCCATTCTGTGTTCTGTAGGTGTCATTCCTGTTTTTCTTCCACTAAGCCAGTTACACAGTGAGTTCAAAGAGCAGTTGGCCTCAACTAGTGCTCAGCTGGAGGCTTTTTCGTCCCAGACCTTGAGAAAGCCTCCTGAGCTCGTGCTTCTGCCCCTCTGCTGATCCCAGCTGTTGATCAAATCAGGTGTTCTCTTTCAGCAAACCCTGCTTTGGTCATGTGCTTGGGTCTTGGATGTTATGGCATTTCACACAGGATTACATCAGCATTCCCACCCTCGTTCGGGTGCTGTGCCCATCGTTTGCCATCAGGAGGAGCTGGAGGAACGACTGCCTTGGCTGGTGCGTTAGGAGAGGTGTGTGAGAAACATCCCTAGTCCGGGATTCTAAATGTGGGAGTGGCATTTGTTTAACTTCGTTTTGTTGTCACAAAGACTGAAAATTATTTAGCATTATTAGTCATAAATTCCACAACTAAAAGGTGTTTCATTTTATTACATGAAGAGGTGGTGAAATTCCCATTCTAACACAGTCTGATGTGAACAGGGAAAGAAAAATGTTAGAGGTGACAATTTCCTGCCTTCAGAGCTGGTGGGATTTTGTATCTCATCTCTCTCTGAGCTGAGTACAGGGCACACTTATTTATAGTCTCTGCAGCTCTTCCCGCTACAGAATTGAGTGGTTTTTTTTTTTTTTTTATGCTATCTGTGAGCATTCTCTGTACTAACAAAAACATCTTTCAATTCAGCAGTTATTTCTGGTTGAAGTTAAAGCTTTGACTATTATCTGAGCCCCTGCCACTGGCATAGCGAGGTGTTAGATGTACTGCAAATGCTTAGCTGCTTCAGAGAGTTATCCACAGGAGATTGTGGGTATCTTTTTAAGTGGGAAGTTCTGACTTTATTTCCCTTAATTACCTGTTTAATCTGAGCCTGTTGTGTTGCTGGGAGAATTGTGGTGTTGCGCTTAACACGGTGGTGATCCAAGTACAGCTTGTGTTTGGTCCACACAAATTTTTCCTGCTTGCTGAAAAATGAGGTTTGTCTTGAACTTTCTAAGAGGCCTTGAGTGAATGTGCTTTCTGTCCATTCAGTGGTCACCTCGTTTGCTGTGGTGGTGGAGTTCAGCACAGCTTATGACAATGTCTGCTTTGGAGCTTGGGAGCTGGCTTTCCACTCCAAACTCAGAGCAGAAGTGGCAGCGTGGATTCCCTTTGCCGCTTAGAACTCCTGCTAATCTTTGCCCCTGGCTCAAGTTGGAGACAGCCAAGCGAGCACAAGGTATTGGATTAGGTGCCAGCAAAGAAAAATATTTGCTCAAGAACTGAGTTTTCTCGCCTTTCCAGTTCTATTTAAAGTAGCTAGTACACTTCTAAAGGTTGACCTGGTACAAAGGCGACATATACCAACTTTGAGCACACGCTGAAAAGCAGTGCATTATTTTGAGTGTTCACCACAATTTGGAAGTAGGGTAGACTTTCACAAATGATTCTGATCGTTTCTGATCTATCTGTTACTGATAGACTCAGTTACAGCAGAAACAACCAGTGGCAAAGGCATGTTGTGTGTTCATCTCTTATGTCTGTGTTGCTGCTATGGGGAAGAGTTAATCTGTAACTTAGGTAACTTTGATTATGAGAAAATACAGTGTGAAATCAGCATTCCTGTAGCATCTGGGGTTTTTCTGGCTTTTCATGGTTAGGTACTCGTTCTGTGAGGAAGTGTTACAGAATGGAAGCACTCTCACCTGAGTGAAGTACAGCGATTCTTTCTTTGTAACTAGGCAAGTATGACTATTTTTCCACACTGTCCCCTGGAAAATGCTTGTCTGTGTTAACCTCTTGTGTAAACTTGATTAGGCAAACCCTGAGTGCTTGCACCAACCAGGACATTCAGAAGTGTTTGACCTTAACAAGGAATTTATTTTACGTATCTCTGGAGATGATTGGAAAAGATGAAAAAATAGAGGTGATTTGTTTTAAAAATGGCAGCATATTCACCAAGTAGTTGGAGCATTTCTTAGCAGCTCTGAGAGCTATTCTGGTCTGCAGTGCAGCTCCATGGCACTCAGTTATTTCTGTCAGCCTGGTGTAAGGTGTAGGAAACAGTCTTCTCCTGTGTTTGTTTCTGTGGCTGGTTGGAGGAAGACACTGTAAACACTGTGCCTGTGTCAGACAGCAAGGAACACTTTCAACTGTGATTCTTATTAACCTGCAGAAATTACTCTGCAGGAATTATGAACCATTAAAAAAAATTCAGGCAAAGAAATCGAGTCCCACCTCACTGAAGTAGCCCTCTCGTTACCCTCCGTGGGGTGAGGGGAAATTGTGTCTGTTCCCAAACACAGTCACACCTCAGGTAAAGACCAGCAGTGCCTGTGGGAGCCTGGTGGAAGCCCATGCAGAGGGGCCATGGATTGCAAAGGCAAGAAAGCTAAATTAGTGTTTTGAGAAGCCCCTGGGTACAAGAGCAAGGAATGTTCCGGTGAAGTGGAACTTGTGTCAGTGTAGCAGTTATGTGGGTTTAGTAGTAGGCTGTCTTCAATACTGGCTATCCCAATTTCATGAGTGTTCATGTCAGAAAAGGAATAAAATGCCAGGATTGTGGGAAGAAAACTTCGCTGTTCTCAAGCACACCTATTTTTAACTCTGAAATTTCTGTGGTGGACGCCTTTTTGCCAAGAAGTTGAGTGTGTCTGTATGTACAAACTAAGACTTGGTGTCTGTTTATCTTGGCAGGGGTGAGCTTCTCTGCACAGCTGTGTGATTTAATCTCATTTACACAAGACATTTTCTTTGTTAGTGCATTACCAGGTACTGGGTAGTGCAAGTAGTGTGTTTGCACAACACTCAAATAACTTTCACAGGGTTTCTACAGAAACATCCTCTTGTGGGAAATGTTAGTTAGTGTGTGTGAGATTTTTCTTCTGCTTGGTGCTTTAAGTCCCAGGTCAAAAAAAAAAAAACCAGCCCATTACCATACTTGACCATTTCACAAAAACCTCTAGCAACTACCATGACTAGGAATTGATTGCTTGGTCATTCTGTGTATTCTTAGTCTTAAAGCTTGTGCCCTGCACTCTTTAAGAGGTGCTAAGTTGAAGAAACCTTCTCTAACTGTGGCTGTTTTCTGTTGCTTTCAGGTGATTTTTTTTTTTTTATTGGGAGCTGGCCAGAAACCTGGCAATTGTTATCCTGTGGGCTCTGTTGCTATTTGTTCTTTTCATGCTGGCTGGCTTCTCAAACTGATTTGAACAGAATGGCTGTAGAAAATGGATGGTTATCTTGATCCTGGTTGTCACAAGTCAGGAAAATGTCACCTGTAAATATTTAATGAGCCTTTGTGCAACTGACCTGATCGAGAACTGAGTAATGATGCAGCTGCAGGAGTCGTGGCTTCTGTAACTTGGATCTGCAAGGAAAAGAGAGCACTTTTCTTCTGCCAGGCTTTGTGTTGTTGCTAGCTTTATTCTTTGATATTTTAAGTAAGTGGTGTTTCTTTGGAGCTCTGCCTCAACAGCCTCCCCTTTCTTAGCTAGCTTGTTTTTCTGTGTAGGTTTTTTTGTTTGGTTTTTCTGCGTGGGCTTTCTGCTCCTTGCAAAAAAGGGACAGAATGCTCAGTAAACAAAAGCTGAGCTCTCCTCTCTCCTACCTCTGCAGACAATACCTGCCACACACACCCCTTTATCATCTTGTATTCTTGGTCAATTCTTGCATTGTTTCCCTGTGCTGGAGAGTGAATTCAAACCCAGTTCAGAAGACTCTGGTGAGGAAAGGGTCTTACACAAAAGCAAACATCAAAATGCTCTCAGATTAGCTGGAACTTAATAATACTACCAAAGCTGTTCTAAAGAGGAGAGTAATGAAACATGGAGAAACAGCTCTGATTTTCAGCAGGCTAGTAACTATTGAAACCCACAACTTAAAATCCTCCAAGCAACATGGGGAAAAGTTAGGACAGCTATGTCTGTATCACATTCTTGCTGGCTTTGTGGTGCTTTTCACAGTGCCTGATTTCTGGTGTAGTGTCAATCTGTGAGCACGTTGGGCTGCTATCCCATGTATTGTGTCAGGACACTGAATAATTAATATTCTCTGGAAAGGATTAATTGCCTCCACTCTTGTCACTTTCTTCTTGGTGCCCTGTGCATGCTGCCCATTCACAACAGCAGGAGCTTGCTAATGAGATTTTGTTTCCCAAGAAGAAGTTGTGCTGCAGCACAAACACTTCTTTGTGGTCTGTATGCTCTTACTTGCCACCATACGAAGCAAATACATCATATCTCCTTACAAAGTCTCAGGTAATTGTTTCAGAAATGTTTAAGCTCAGAAATGACACTTAGCCTTGAACACTAATTTTAATAATCTGGCAGGCAGCCTGCCCAGTTACCAATATCTACTCACCAGTTACTGGTATTGTGGTTTATACTTATATTGCAGCCCCAGAAATGGGTTGTCTTTGTGTATGAAAATATTTCAGTGGCCAAGGAAGTCTTCCAGGATGCTCTTGAATTCTCAGCAGCACTGTGTCCCACAGTGGCAGCTGTGCTTCAGTACTAGTGCTACAAGAGAGAGCCCCTGCGGAAGTGCAGAGGGGAGAGGGACACAATTTTATGTGATGCAGGAAGAGTGGAACCCACTGGGAAAAGCAGTGCACTGTTTACCCAGGGTGCCTAACTTCCCATGAGTTCCTTACTTCCTTTACCCAAGGGGGAATGACAGGATGCATGTGTTAGACTGAGAAAGTTCAGCTCAGTACTCTGTCAAATACCAGTCCTTGGGAGCCCCTTGTTCTCATACAAAGCTGCAGTCACCCAGTCAGCACCTTCTTTTGAGGTGGCTTTTATTTTGTTGGCTTACAAGGCAAACGTGGGTCTTCCCTTAGGACTTCCCATGTGGGCAAAACACTAATTTGGTGCCCCAGCCCAAAGAAATTATCTAGTCACAGCAGTGATTTTAGAAGGATGTAATGTCAGAGTGATGGAGAGCCTTTTGTTAAACAGATTATCCCAAGGCCACAAAGGCTTTGAAAGTAAGAGCACATCCAGTGCAAACACAGAGGCTCCTGGATAGGGAACTGACCTTTACAGATTTCACAATCTGCATCTCAGGACTGGCACAGTGAAATTGCTTTGACAACAGTACCTGGCAGTGCCAGGACACAAGAAGTTTGTACCTCTGTTTGGGCTTGCCAAAGTGGTTGGTAGCGATTCAGGCCCTGGTAACTTGGCTTTAGATGTTTTCTGTGCTGCTGAGGGCAAGTACTGGACTGACTTGTTTCACAGTGACTTAGAATAACTCACCTTTTAGGAGATCTCTGGTTGGGGCAGTTAAGGATTTTTTTGTTCATATTCTTAAAACAGTGGAGCTGCTTTTAAAAAAACCAAACTTGTTTTTTTAATCAAACTACACTAAAAGATTAATAAGTCTTAACAGGACAACTCTGATTAAATCACCACTGTTCTTCCTCTTTTTGTTGCTGTTGTGCTGATGGGTGCTGGGAAATCCCTATGCCTTTGTTTTTCTCAGTGAGCAGGGTCAGTGCTCTCCTTAGGGAGGACTGGATCGCTTGGGATTGCTCTGTGAGGGAATGGAAGTGGCCTGGCACAAGAGGGGAAGCCTAAACGGAGGTCTAGGAGAGAGAGAATGCACCAGAAAATCCAGGAATAGTTCCTGCACAACACAGTGTGGGAATGCCAGTTATGGTTGACCTGACCCACAGCGGACTGCCGTGAGCTGCTCTAGGAGCTGCGGAGAAGCATGGAGGAACACCCAGTTTTTTGGAATCGTAAACAGCGGGCATCTTCCATTTCTGAAGAACAATGAAGCGTCATTGTTGCTGCGGCTTGGCAGGAAAGTGAGTCTTAAAATACCAGAATTTCTCGTTGTCTGGGGTTATTTTTACTGCCCGTGGGTGAGCACTCTGGGAAGGATCTCGGGCCGGCGACAAGAGCTGGGAAGCGCAGCTCCTTGTAAAACTCCTGGTTTTCACCAGGTGCGTTCTGCCTCCTTTCTCTCTGGACCGGCATTGCAGGCGGCCGGTGGTTGGTGACCGTAAGTTCTGTAGCGCTGCCTGGGGCGCGGTGCCCGTGCCGGGTATCCCATCGCATCCCATCCCATTCCAGGCCCGGATCCCGGGCAGCGCTGGCCCCGCCCCCCAGCCCTGGCGCAGTCTTGTCGCTGTCCCATTGGCTGCCCCGCCCGTCACTCCCGCCGCCCCCGGCTCCCCATTGGCCGCGCGGGGCACGCCCACATTCCACAGCTGGAGCCGCTCGCGGCCCCGCCGCCCATTGGCCCGCGGCCCCCGGGCCGGCCGCGCTGCTCGGCCCCGATTGGCGGGCGGGGCGTCGGGGGCGGGGCCGGAGGGGCGCGGCCGGTGGGGCTGACCCGCCCGCGCAGTCCCGGCCGAGCGGGGGGCGAGCGGCGGCGCCGCGGCCCGGACGGGGGACGGACCGACAGACCGAGCGAGCGACTGACTGACCGACCGACCGGCCCGCAGGGCTGCCCGCGGCCGCCATGGAGGTGTGCGAGAGCGGCGGGGAGCAGCCGCCGCTGCTGCACTGGGACCGCAAGCTGAGCGAGCTGTGCGAGCCCGCCGACCCCGACACGCTGCTGAGCCACACGGTGAGTGAGGAGCGCCGGGGCCGGGAGGGCTGGGACGCCCCCGTGGGCGGCCGCGTCTGGGGGGCCGTGGGGGGCTCCCGGCGGGTGGAGGCGCCTTTGGCCAACAGGTGTTCCCGAGGGTCCCTCGCCGTGACCGCCGCCCCGCCGGGGCTGGTGCCTCCCGGGCCGAGGTGCCCCCGGACAGGCAGCGGGGTCCCCTCTGTCCCGGCGTGTCCCAGCTCCTCCCCTCGGGACCCCCCGGCAGCCGGGGCTCCCTCTGCCCCCGCAGCGCCGCCGCTTCCCCCGGGCGACCTCTCAGGAGCCGCGGGACGTGTCGTCTTCTCCAAGGCGAGACTCTCCCGGCACCGTCCCGCTCCTCCAGGGCAGGAAGGAAGTGACAGAAGTTTTGATGTTTGGTTTTTTGGTTTTGTTTTGTTTGGTTTGTGTTTGTTTTTTTTTTTGGCTGGAATCCCCGTGTTTTTTTTCTTGCGCAAAATGCATCGTTAGGACAGTCCCGAGGAAATGGTATGCTGTTATCTCTGCCCTGTGGTTTTCCTGATAATCTGGGAGGTGTTTCGCAAGTGCGGAGATACACCTTTATAACGTTATAAACCTTTATGACGCTGCGTGGGTGCGAATCCCAAGTGGAAGTGAGCTGGAGTGCTTTGGGACAGCAGCGTGGAAGACTCTTCCAGGCCAGTGTTGGTGTGAGGCACGAGGCAGCCAGGCTTGGCGTGGCTGTCGAGCACGTGTTGGGATGGAGCCCCAGAGGAACACGGTGGTGGCGGCTGGATGGTGGCAGCGCCGAAGGAACGGCGCTTGGCAGGTGCCGCCGTGCGCTCCACGCCAAAGGGAACGATGTGCAAACACGAGAGGGGCCAAGCCCTGCTCGTGGGAGCAGTGGCGATCCCCACTGCACGATGGGCGCCCTGCGGAGATCTTGGTGTTGGTCTCGTAAGGCAAACAAGGAAAATCTTGTTTGCTGTGTGTGGTATGCGGTAGCCTTACTGATCCGGGATCACGTCCGTCACAAGCTCCAAGCCTCCTTCCAGCAGGAAGCAAGCCTGCTGCACGCGGGACTGTCTTTAAACGTTGTTTGGCTGCTTTGTCTTTGAGAGTTCTTGGGCTTTCTTGCACAACGCGTATCTTCTGGTAGATCCGGGGAAAAGGAATCATATGTTATGGTGGCTTGGGGTTTTTTAAAAAGGCAGCTGGAACACTTAACAATGGAAAGCTCTTCTGTCAAACAGTTGTTTTCTTGAGTTTTTTCGTTATCAAGAGGAATGTTGTGAGTAAAATGGGAGGCTCCTTGGAGAGTGTTCCCCTTTGGAGTTACGGTCGTGGTGGCATACTGCCTCCTGCTTTGTTTGGATCCTTGTGATGAGAATGGACTTGTCACTCTTAACTTTAGTTTTCTTATTTATTGCTTTCTTATCTTCTCTAATTAATGCCCTGAAGGAGATCCTATGCTTGGGATAGGACTTGTGGCTGCGGTGACATGGACATGTGTGTTTTTTGCCCTGTTTCAAGGAGCCTGAGACTTAAGTGTGCCTTGGCAAAGACAATGCCCTGGCTATCTGGAGGATGGGAATGTGATGCTTTTCCCTTTGTTGTTTTCAACTTTTGTGGGGGATTTTCAGCTTCAAATGCTGTGATGATGAGTGTTTTGCAAGGGACAGTTTGTAGCTGGGTGTGCAAAGTCTTGGGCTGTGACTGTCTTTGTTGGGAGTAACACTGCCATTGACTGATGTGGTTGTCTCATTTGATTGTTTTTTGGTTTTTAGGAGTTTAAGATTTCTTTAGAGACCCTCTTGAAGTCACATAAAAAGTGTGAAATTAATTTCTGGTTTTGGTTGGTTTTGGAATTCATCTGAAAAAAGTTTCAGCAAAAAAGATCCAACTAAAGGCTATAAAGTAGGTGTAGTGAGGTATTAAGATCTTTAAAGGAGAAAAAAAGTTTTATGAAATTAACATTCTCTAGAGGGAAACCTCCCCCTCATTGAACTTCTGCCTGTTGAACTTCTTCTTTTGTAAAGTGTGCACTGCCATGTGGAGGAAAATACTGTGCTTGATATCATGAAACACAAAATCTCTATTTACCTCCGGCCAAAACTTCATAGAATCGTTTGAAAAAACCAAACCAAACAAACAGGCTCTCAGGATGAAACATCTGTTCTTCTCCGGGCTTATGCTTTCCATCTGGGAGGACTGGTTTGACCTGGCTTACTCTGTAAGTTTGTAAACTTACTAGAGGGTGTTTCTGAAAAGATTGTGGTGATGGAGGAGACCCTCCTATGCTCTATCTACAAGAGTGCCCACTACCTGTGCTGTCATCCTCATGGCTGAAGAACATGTGCCCTGTGGAATCCTGTGGTCTTTGCACACTCCTGAGATGTCTCTTAGCTGGGTGTGCAAGTCTGCATCCAAGGGAACTTCTGTGTGGGCTAAGGAAAGGTGTCTGGGTCAGTCATACGGCCCTAAGAGCGTGAGCTGGACTGGCAAGGGGGAGGAGGAGGGATAAGGTGCTGATGATGTTGACTAAGGGGGGAGAGCTGACAAGCAGAAAGAAGGATCAGTGTTGTTCCGCAGTCAGACCTGTGTGTGCCAGACTGGTGAGGGTGAGAATTCTGTGCCAACTGCCTTTCGTGTATTTTAAGTTAAAATTTAACTTTTTTACAACCCTAAAGGCTGTTCCTGGCTCTGGTGGATTTGACGCTGGTAGACAAGTGTGAAAGTACGCATGCACTGAAAAACTTGACCTCTATTTTAAACTGTTCCAGCCTGCCTTAATTACCAGGGCTGAAATCCAACCTCCAGGGGATTTACATTTCTCGTTAACAGCAGATGATTTCACCAGTGCCTGAAGCTGTGCAAGGAGCCATTCCCTCACTCCTCTGGTACTGTCAGTGATGTCATCAGCTGTGCCTGGAGAAGGTGGGACCTTGAGGAGCTCAGCTCTGGTGTTGGCAGGCAGCAGTCTTTGAGGTGTCTCATTAAAGTCCTCATAGTTTATAGTATTCACCTGGATACCAGATAGCTTTAGAGCAGTTATTTTTCCAGAGTGGCTTAGTTTCCCATCCAAGAAAAGGCTGAAAGGTTTCCCAGAGCTGTGTTCATGGGATGTGTCATGTGTTTGCATTATCTAATCTTCCTATGGGCTGTAGCTTTGTTGTGATTGTTTGTTGGTAATGCTGTACACTGGCGTTGTGTAAGGCATCATCATCATTACTATTATTATTATTATATGTTTTTTTCCTGGTGGCCAAGCAGAAAGGAAGCACAACTCCTGCCACTGCCCAAGGGGAGCAGAAGTGTGGTCAGGTGAACTCTTCAGCTTCTTGCTCCTGCTGTTACTTTCCATAACATGCAGGCGGGTTTGAAGTGGGAGAGCTCTGGTTGTGGCCATGGGTCTCCACTGGAGTTGATCTGTGGTTGGACATGGCCCAGCTGGGATGGCGTCTTCAGTGACAAGTGCCAGATCTGATGCAGATGGATAAGTGTGACAAACACGCTGTGAAACGCCAATGACCCACCCCATTCCTGGATGGGGGCTGAAAGGCAGGTGGTTCTTAGGAGTCCATGACACTTAAAACCTCCTTATTTAATACTGGGGATGCAGCCTTTTTTTCTCCCCTTGTTTTCATGGTTATTTTAACACGTTGGCTGCTGCTTCCAGGTGGTAGCAAAACGCAGCGGAACGGGAGCATGGCTGTGATCTTGGCATGGTGGATGTAGAACTGCAGCTGCCCTACACGTATGTGGGGACAGCAGCTGGCTTAAATATTTAGGACTGAATTCCTAGATGTCATATCCTGAGTGTCTTGATGAGTGGTTAACTGGAAGATACTTCAAACGCTAAGTAGCCCAAATTGTTTATTCTTTAAAGAGCCGACTATTGAACCTGCAACTCATATGAAAAAAATTGAAATTACTTAAATGTTACACTGCTGAAGCCGTTGTCTGAGCAGTGTTTGAACTCAGTGAGCCTGTTGCCATGTTGTTGGTGATGCTGTGGGCAGCTCAGGCCTGGAATAGGGGTGTAGTGCAGGTTGGGACAAGTGGAGGAGGCTTACTCGGCCTCAGCTATCAAATCTCCCTGCAAAAGCAAAACCAAAGCGAACTCCCCGTGAAGGTTAATCATCAGGGTTGTTATCATCATGTAAGATGAGCTCAGGAAACTTTGAGCTGGCCTTTTTTCCTCCCTCCTCTGAACCTCGCCGGGAGCTTGCCCAGTGACTCATTTCCTCGTCCACAGAAGCGATGGTTGCCGTTACTTCGTGTTTCTGATGACTTCTGCAGAAAAGCTGCCTCTGAACACGCTGCCAGGGATTGCCTGGAGTGTTTGGTGTAGGGCAGTGGCAGCAGTTAATTTAAATGGATGACAGTGCTTGATTTTTACAGTCTGTGTGTATTTAATTAAAAGTTGGGGTAACCGCAGCATGTATAGATGTGGAGCTGGCTGTATCTTATTTTGTGGTGGCTGCATGTAGCCCTCTGTAAAATCTGGTGGCAATATAGTTGTATCCAATTTTCAGGTTTTTTTGGTGGGGGGAGAGAGCTACTTCATTTATTTGAAAGCGGAGTTTGGTCTGTTGCCCACTAACCATAAAGCTGAAATCTCTTCTTCTTTCTTCTCTGTACACCTGCATGTGGAGGACAGGACAGCTGACTTTGGGTGAAATGTTTGTACAGTCTGTACTTGAAAGGATTTTGCCAAAATTCTCCAGTAAAGAGGGAAAATGAGAAATTGAGACTTGGAAATAGTTGTATATGTGCCTTGTACAAAGCAGCAGTGTTAAATTTTGTCATTGACTTTGCATATTAAAAAAAATCATCAGCATCACAATTGATGAACAGCAAAACTAGTTGTACTCAGTGCCTTGCACAGAAAGCCATCCCACCCCACCATCTCCTTGTTTTCTTCTGAAATTTAAATAAGAAAGTCATTCCATTTTGTCAGTGTACATGTCAGGTACTTGTAATGGGTCTAACGGATCTACAGTTCCTCTAAAAGCTGAGAT